AGGGTTGTACCAGGGTGGTGGGTGGTCCCAACCTTGGCGATTTTGGCCTCATCCTTCTTCTTGGCGCTTTGCAGAGCTTCCAGGTGGTGCCGAGCGCTGTCGTAGTCCACCAGTTTTCTGCCACGCTTGGCAATGCGCTCCTGGTGGGGGTGGGGGACACACAAGTGATCCAGGACCTCCTCCATGTTCCCCTGACCCCATCCCACCTCTTCCCACCCTCAGGGGGGTCACCTTAAAGTCCCCAAACTGAGCCAGGTAGTTGTCCATGAGCCGCAGGACTTGGTCGCTCAACTTGTCCTCGTAGTCCTCCCACAGCAGGTCATTGCTCTGGGGACACACACACACAGAGAAGGGGGTGACACTTGGGGACCCCCAGAACCCTCTCCCTGGGGCTAGGGGAGCCTTGGGGACCCCCCGGGCTCACGTTGGCGATGGCTCGGAGCTCCTCGTGCCCATCCCAATCGGAGCTGTAGATGTCCTGCAGCGTCTCAGCCACTCTCCGGGAGCTCTCGTGCATCACTGTGACCCCAGGGGGCACCAAGTGGGGGTAAATAGTGGGTGTTGTTAATTAACTGGCACTGCTAATGAAGGTGTTGGGTTGTGTCGGCGTTTCCTGGCCCAAGTGTGTTGTTTTCTCGTGGTTTATTAGCTATTTATTACCCTCTAGGTAGTCTATATATCCCACATGGAACATATGTCCCACCTATGATGTATATCCCATCTGGAACATCATATATCCCATGGACAATGTGTTTGTTATCTCCTCATGATCCCTTTATTTTTACTCCCTGTTTATTTTCCCACCCATGGAACACAATCCATGGATAAAATACATCCCACTCATAACATAGATCCATCATATATCACCTCTTTATTATGCCCCAACCCCTCCCTGATCCCTTTGGATTTCCCTAGAACATTCCAGAGCCAATTCCAGAGCAAATTCCAGAGCCAATTCCATACCTCTCACCGCTCCCACGAAGCCCTTGAGCTCCTTGTAGAGCCTATGACCTTCACTCTGCAAAACATCCCCCGAGGGGACACTGAAGGCTGTCCCCAGGGGCAGCAGGGCCCGGGGACAGTGTTGGGGTGTCCCTCCCTCCCAGGGGTGTCCCCTCCTCACCCTGTCCTTGGGCTCACCTGCTGCAGGTGGAAGTTTCCCGCGCTCTGCTCGAACTGTTCGTCTTTGGTTTCCACAGTTTTGCCCAGTTTTTGTAGAACCTGTGGTGGAGAGATGTGGGAAGAGACACCACACCTGGTTCTGTGCCCCAAAAATCTCCATGGTCACCTGGCTCTGCCCTGCACAAATCCCCTTGGCCACCAGGCTCTGCCCCCCAAAATCCCCAGGAAGTGATTGCCCCCCACCAGGAAGAAGCCAGAGCTGGGCAGGGAGAGCTTTGGGGTGTCCAGGAGGAGGTTGATCCCCCAAAGGAAGAGGTTGAGAATGGGTGGGAGGGAGTTTTGGGGTATCCAGGAAGAGGCTGATCACCCCAGGAAGTGACAGGAGCCAGGTAGGAGATTTGGGGTGTCCAGGAAGACATTGACCCCCCTGGGAAGAGGCTGGAGATGGGTGGGAGGGAGTTTTGGGGTGTCCAGAAAGAGGTTCACCACCCCAGGAAGTGACTGGGACCAGGTAGGAGCTTTGAGGTGTCAAGGAAGAGGTTGACCACTCTAGGAAGAGGCTGGAGAAGGGTGGGAAGGAGTTTTGGGGTGTCCAGGAAGAGGTTGACTCCCTGGAAAGAGACTGACACCAGGCTTGAGGGAGATTTGGGGTGTCTGGGAAGACGTTTCCTCCCCCCCAGGAAGCACCAAAGTCTGTCCTGGGCTGATAGAACCACGGGAGAGTCACATTTAGCACAGAGCCCTGGCCAGGAAGCACAGAGTGGGAGGGTTTGGTGGGAAGATTTTGGTGTCCCCCCAAAATAGGATTCATGGCTGTTTTTTTGGAGAGAGGAAGGGCAGGAGACACCCCCAAACCGCCTCAAACCAGCTGAGAGCTGCCTGGTCTGTGCCTGTTTCCGTAGTCCTCCACCCTCTCTTCCTAGTACGGGTGACACCAACATTCCCAGGACCACCCACCATCCCTGGGTGTCCC